GGGCCTAGCGTGCTTGCTGGCGGGTCCCTGGCTCTGAGAGACGCAGCCCACCGTGCGGCAGAGTGGGATCCAGATGCCGCGCCTATCATGGCTGGGAGCACACTGCGGCTGCCAAGATATTGAGGGACAGCAACGGGGGACAGAGCCCCTAAACACAACCCCAACTCTGGGCAATCACGCGGGGCTGGGCTTCAGCTCCACCAAGAGGGCCAGACTCCAAAGGGGATGGGGCAATAACATCCGTGTCACTGATACTGCAGGCCGAAGGACCCCTCACAGCACTTTCCAGGGGCCGCACGCCCTCAGCACGTAAATGCAGCCACCTCTGGGGGGAGGCGCAGCAGCTGTTATTAACACCACAGCAGAAGCATTTAGGCCAAGAAACAGACCAAAGGGCTGCCCAAATGAAACTTCAGGGGGCAGTGAGGGGAGGCAGAAGGTGAAGACAGGGCTGGAGTTTGGGGGGGACAGCACGGAAATGCCCCTGTGCTTTTGGAAAGTGCAACAGACTCTTCCATTATTGCACTAGGCCAGGGCTCATTTTTCAGTCTCATCTGAAAGCTAGAACCTAAAATGGCACAGAGCCCCCTAATGCCACATTGGGGTCAGCGCTGACTGTGAGGGGAGAGCACCCCCTATCTAGTCCCCCCAACCCACTCCCTGCAGCACAGCACCCCCTAGTGCTGTGCTGGGGCATTGGGGGCTGCACGGGCTGTGAGGCAAGATCGAGCCCTACAGAGCCTATACCCTGCTCTTTGTAGAATGGCATGGCCAGCACCCCAGTAGGGCATTGGGGCTGGCCTGGAGTGGGAGGGAAGAGTGCCCCCTACTGAGCCCTGTGACAAATATAGGAATTTTTGTCATATTTGTATGACTCATTGCGTGCCTCAGTTTCCCTTGGTGCTCCATGCGGCTATGCACGGAGTGTAAAGTGCAGGAGACCCGAGGTGTTTGGCACGTGTAAGTGCATGGGGAGATCTGAAGGACTTGTTAAGGGCAGACTGGCACCAGCGCCAATCACTGGCAGCGCCTACAGAGACAATGGCAACCCCAACGACCCCACCACCACCACCACCACCAAAGAGCCGCGGTGGCCAGGTGTTTTGCTGCACACGCCTCCCTGCAGAGGCAGCTGAACGTGTCAGCGAAGCCCGGTGCCGTCCAGAGCAGCGCAGTAGCAGGAACCTGTGGTGAGTATTGGCCTCCCAAAGACACTGGCGCTCTCCCCGGCGACTGAGCCGAAGCCGGGAAGCCAAGGACGGTTCCTAGAGCAGCATGGCGTGGACCAGGCTGAGCTCTGTCTCACCTGCTGCCCCACGCGAGGGGCCGGCTGAGTAATCACCCTGGAGATGGCGGCTGCGGTCACTGCAGTAAGTGTAGAGGCGCGCTGGTCACTGGCCAGGCATCTGGCTCAACTGGACGCAGTTCGCGGGGTGAAGGAGGAGGGCTGGAGCCCAGAGGCTCGGTCTTGGAGGCGTTGAAGCCATGTGGCCTGTCCTGGTGGAAAGGTCTGACCCTTTGGGGACCTGGCGTGCTGACGGCGTCTTCCCAAGGGAGGGTTTCCAGGCCAGGGCGTAGCACAGAACCTGTAGATCCGTGACACCCCACCCGTGCTCCCTGCAGCACAGCGCCCCCTAGCACTGCGCTGGGGCATCGGAGCCAGCACTGACTGCGAGGGGACAGCACCCCCCACCACACTCCCATCCCAGCACTAACCAGACCCAACCCTGTTCTGACTGGGTGATCACAGGGTGGCATGAGGCTGCAGCAAGTGGTACGGCCAGTCACCATGGAGGACACGGAGCCCAGCAGACCGGAGCAGGGTCCAGGGCCATCTAGCCCGGTTTCCCATCTCTAATAGTAGCTGGAACCAGCGGCTGCCCTGGAAAATGTAAGAACCCCGCGGGGTCCGATGTGGGATAATCTCACTCACACACACACACACACACAGGGTCTCATCCTCATCACTAGTAATCAGAGATTGGCTTAAACCGCACAGCCGGAGCTCTAATATCCCTGCCCCAATGCAGGAAGCATTCACTGAAACTCAGCCTAGTCTTGTTACCCACAGAAATGGCCAGTCCCTCTTTGGAGCCCTGCTCTTGGCCTCACTGCAATCTTGCGGCAGGCAGTTCCCCCGGTTAACAGTGTGTTGTATTAAATAAGCCTTTCCACTCTTGTGGTGGGAATTTGCCCCCTTTCCACATCTCCAACTGTCCCCTTGTGTCAGGAGACACAGAGAGGAGCAGCTCCAGCTCTCCCTTTGGTATTTTATAGACTTCCATCCCGTCCCCGCCCACATCCCCTCTCAGGTAACAATCCCCCATCTTTTCAATCTCTCAGCGCTGGAGCACGTTTCCAGGCCCCCGGATCATTCTGGTCACCCTTCTTTGAACCCCTCAAGATCTGCACCATCCTGCTGGAGATGGGCCGACTTGTGCGGCGCATGGTGTCCGGAGGAGACTGCGCCATCCACTGATACGAAAGCGCTATAATATCCTCACTATTATTCACCATCTCGTTCCTTCGGCATCCTCGCAGCTTTGCTGCTCTGACCGTGGCTGCGCATTGAGCGGAGCTCTCCACTGATCTGTCTGCAACAACACCCAGGCCCCTTTCTGAGCTGCAACAGTTATTTCAGACCCCTGTCAGGTGGGACGCGGGGTTCAAATTCTTCCATCTCCTTGCATTGGGCAGACACTGAATTCCAGCTCCCGGCATGCTGCCCATTCCTGTCCCTCTGGGCTCCAGGGCCGGCGCAATCCATTAGGTAACCTAGGCGGTCGCCTAGGGCGCTACAATTTGGGGGGCGGTGACCGCGGCGGTATTTTGGTGGCGGGACCTTCCGCCGCCTCTGTGGGGGGCGGCATTTCGGGGCGGGACCTTCCGCCGCCTAGGGTGGCAGAAAAGCTGGCAGCGCTCCTGCTGGGCTCCCTCGCTACACCTTGACTGACCTCCCTCACTGGGTGTGCTCTCCGTTGCAGCTGCTCCCGCTGTGCCACTCACCTTCTCTGCCAGCACGCGAAGAGCTTAGACACGGGAACCCGTGCAGAGCCGGCAGACCTGGCATTAACCCTCTGCCAGGACGGAACCTGCCTGGCTGATCTTGCTCTCCGATTCTTGCCTCTTGGCCCGTTTTTGATCTGGGGCAAGACTTGAGCCCCTGTTCTTTAGCCGAGGCCTCCTGAGGGGCCTTGTCCTGAGATTCCTGGAAGCCCCAAGAGAGCTGGGATATCACTGGGGTGGGGCCCAGATCCCCTAGACACAATCACTACCAGGCCTTATATTTGCCTTTTTATTTCCTCTGAAACATACGAACAGAACAATAAATTAAATCCCCCACTGGCTGGGGAGCACCGGCAACGGGGGAGGGGAGAGAAAGGGGCTTACAGAGAGGAGGGGGCAGGGGCCCATTCCCACCCCTTCCTGGCCAACCCATTCGCTGGTCCCCGGGAAGGGGGGGCAACACCACCGAGAATGGATGCAACGATGTCACTGGAAGGTGGCCAACTGCGGTTGCTCCCCAGCGCTGCCCGGAACGACAGATGTGATTTCAAGCACCTCCCTCCCGGCCCTTGCACCCATCCCCCGAGAGGTCCGCAGCCAGACTCAGAACTCACGGTCGGATCGGACCCACCCTTAGTACCATTTGTGGACATGCACGTTTGCGCCCTCCCAAATAAGAGACCAATCGGAGCACCTGAGAAATACGCCCCCGGCAGCCACTCACCCCAGACACCTCCCAGGGCCTGGCTCTGCTGGGGTGGGGTGGGATCCACAGCCACCATACACAGCGAGATAGCTTATAAAATAGGGGAGGGGAAACTGGATCAACACCCCAGTGTCAGGAGACAGAGTGTCTATAACAGAAGGAAACTTGATTGACATCCCAGAGTTAGCAGATAGAGGGTATCTTGGTGTGGGGCGGCCTGAGAAGGGAGGGGAAACTTAATCAACACCCCATATTGGCAGATAGGGGATGTCCTAGAAGAGAAAGAAACTTTATCGACATCCCAGCGTTGGCAGACAGGACATCCTAGAAGAGAATATAAGAACGGCCGTACAGGGTCAGACCAAAGGTCCATCTAGCCCAGTATCCTGTCTGTCGACAGTAGCCAAACTCAGGTGCCGCAGAGGGAGTGAACAGAACAGGGAATCATCAAGTGATCCATCCCCTGTCGCTCATTCCCAGCTTCTGGCAAACAGAGGCTAGGGACACCATCCCTGTCCACCCGGGCTAATAGCCATTGATGGACCTGTCCTCCATAAACTTATCTAGTTCTTTTTTTAACCCCTGTTAGTCTTGGCCTTCACAACATCCTCTGGCAAAGAGTTCCACCAGGCTGACTGTGTGGAGAAATACTTCCTTTCATTTGTTTTAAAGGAAACTTTATCGACAACCCAGCGTGGGCCAACGAGGGACGTCCTGGCAGGGTGAGGAAAGTTTGACCCCTCCATGTTAGCTGATAGGCAAAGGCTCAGGCAGGCAGGGCACGGAGGGGGAAGTTACGATTCAAACCCAGGACTCGGCAGCTAGGCAGTTTCCCCATCTAGAACATGGTGTGGGGGGGAATTCTGATACTCACCCGCCACAGTTTGGCAGATGAAAGTGGCTAGGTAAGTGCTAGAAATTATTATCCTGAATGCCCTGATCCAGCACCAGCAGATCTTTATGGGAAGGGCGCGTCCTGACTTGGGGCTTAGGAGCGCACCCCGATCTTTGGTTAGTTATTTACAGCATAGAGCTTTATAAAGTTCCCTGCAAAAATATATAGATCTCTCTCTCTCTCTCTCTCTCTCTCGATATATATAAAAAACTATTAGAAATTCGACGCAGCTCGGCTATTTCCATGGCTCCCGCGTATTGAAACCTACAAGTGTTTCTTTTTCCTGCTCTTAGTGTCTCATCCCATCTGTTCGGCAATCGTCTGATGAGCGGATCTGGCATTTTGTTCTATGTCACCCACGCTCTCCCCCCCCCCCCCTTTCCCCACCCCCCCCTATGCCGCAGTGTCGTCAGCACTCAGCATGCCGTTGAGGGCCACGCCGTCCTGGAGTTTGACTTGGGCGCCCTCAGCCAGGTCCGGGATCTCTCCCAGCGCTGGCTGGTCCCGGAGCAGGGCGCGCCGGAAGTAGCAGAGGTAGAAGGGCAGCAGGAAGCCCAGGAGAGAGAAGATCAGGAGGCCAAAATTGACCTGCGGGGGGGGGGGGGGGGGGGGGGGAAAGGAAGGGGGGGAGAGATGGGGGGGGGGGGGAAATCAGTGATTTCATCTCACAGCTGAGCTACCCACTCAGTGATTCAGCCACCAAAATATGTTCCTTCTCCACCCCCTATTAACTGCACAGCGTGCTGGGAAAGGGGCCCGCTCCACAGCCCTGCACTCCTCCCCCGGGGGGGCAACGAGCTCGGACTCCAAGACCTTTTTAGTGCCAACTGGGCAGCTTTGCCAATCTGCACACAGGCACCTGCCCCACCAGGGACTGTCCCACTCCCCAAGCCAGCCAGGCGCAGGGACCAGCGCTTCCTAGAGGGGAAAGACTCCCATTCCCCCCCCGCCCCCGAGCCAGTCAGTGACCCCATCCTGGGGTCAGATCAGAGCCAGCGCCTCCTAGAGGGGAAAGGCCCTATGTCCCATTCCCCTCTTCCCTGAGCCAGCCTGTTCCTTCCCCCCAGTATACCAAAAGATGCTCCTTTTCTCCAAGGGCAGGGAGGTCCCTGTGACCCCTTTCAGGATGGTAGGAGGAGCCTGGGTCTAGCCCCACCCCTCATCTCTCCAATGTCAGCTAACGCATTCAACTGGGACAAATGGCAACCTCTGGTCTAACGGGGCCAGGGGCCTCCGCAGAGCCCCCTGCCCAGCCAGGGGAAGGGGCATCAGATCCATCCCCCCCACTCCAGCCTCCCTCACCCCTTGGTGGATCAGCCCCGGAGCGGGGCAGAGTCTAAGCCCTTGGGGGCGGGGTCAGGCACTGGTATTGCCCCGCCCCTTGCCATATGCTAGCTCCACGGGGTGGGGGCGGGGGCTCCCCAGCCTGAGGTCTGTGGGGAGGGGATCCCAGGATAGGGTTGGCCCGGGGTCACGGCCCTTTCACTTACCCAGAAGGGGTCGCCGGCCAGGGGCCCCACCACGACCATGAAGAGCGGCTGCTGCAGCAGAGCAAAGATGGCGCTGATCAGCGACTGCAGGCCAGTTAGCGTGCCGAAGTGACTGGACGGGTACCTGCCAACCACAGGCCAAGCGGCCAATGAGGGCTCTGCCCACCTGGCGCCCCTCTGGGTAACCAGGCCCCGCCCCACCAAAGTCCTAAGAGTGAGCCCCCCCCCTTGATTAGTGACCCCAAACCTCTGCCATGGCCCCAGCAGACAGGAGAACCGAATGGGATCGAAGGGGTAACCCCCCCATCTCCCCTCCCGCCTGCCCCACATCCCAGCTGGTGTGTACCCCTCCCCCCATATATTTGGCCATCAAAAAGGACTGACCCTCACCCAACTCCATCAGCCTTGGCCAGCTGGGCTTGGCCCCCCAGGAAGATTAAGGAGGGAGGGAGACGGGGTCCCCGGCTGCTGGGTCACGCCCCTGTGGGCATCCCCAGCGAGCGCTCCAGGCTCTGGGTGTGGCAGGGGCACGCAGGAAGGATGGGGCAAGCGTGGGGGGGGGACTCACACGGCGGCGTAGAGACCCCCGCAGGCGGAGTGGAAAAAGCCTCGTACCATGGTGTGAAGGACAAAGGTCAAAAACTGCAGAGAGAAGAGACGGGGGCATCAGAATGTGGGGGGGCACCACGGGGGATCAGCAGCAGACAATGACCATTGGGCCTGGGGCACATGGGAAAGGACAGGAGACTCAGGGCGGCAGCAGCTCTGGCGGGCCATGGGGACAAGGGGGAGCGGGCCAGGGGCGGCACCTGCCTGGGGCACCGTGGGGGAGCAGAGCAGGCGGCCGGCGGTACCTGCAGAGGTAGGTTATTGATGAGGCAGGTGACCCCGAAGCCCATCAGCAGCAGGTTGGTGAAGGTGAAGGCCCGGATGGCGTTGGTGAGCTTCTGGATCTTGCGGTAACGGGGCCTAGCAGGCGACTTCTCAGCCCCGGCCCTGGGAACGGCAGGGGGAAGAGTCACCAGCCAGCCCAGCAGGGTCCGCGCCCCGGGGCATGAGCACCAGGATTCACACACACACCCCAGTCCCCCCCAGCGGGGTCCGTGACCCGGGGCACCAGCGCCAGGATTCGCCCCCCCAGGCCCCCAAGCTGGATCCGTGCCCCGGACACACACTCTCACCCAGCTGCCGCGGTGGCGCCCGTGCCCAGCGGCCCGTCCACACAGTCCTTCATGCGCCAGTCCATCACGTAGCCGATGAAGGGGCAGGTTACGAGGCAGAGCAGCTGCATGACCCCGAAGATGGAGGCGTAGAACCCAACTGTCCGTCGGGGAGAGGGTGAGAACCCGGTGCCCAGGCCCCGTCCCCAACCCCACTGCCGGGGAGACTCCCAGGCCCTGTCCCCACCCCCATCAGAGCGGAGACCCCTGTGCCCAGTCCCCACCCCCAGTCCCTGATCAGGGAGGAGACCCTTATGCCCATGCCCTTCCCCATCAGGGGGAGAACCCCACACCCACACCCAGGCCCCATCCCTCTGCCCTATAGCGGAGAGCACAGCGCCTGGGGAGGGCATCGCTCCATCGGCCACTGCATGTGGGAGACCCGACTCCCACTTCCTGCCCCATAGGGGACCGGGGCTCCCTAGTCTCTTGGCAGCTCCGGACATTGCCGGAGCTAGCAATGCTGGAAGGGCAGGGGGCAGGGCTGGCCTCGGCTACCCCCCAGCTGCTCCTACCTGTGTCCTCAGCCTTCTCCATCAGCTCCTCCGGCACTGCGGTCAACGCGGGGGAGAGAGACACAGACAGGGGATAAAGGGCCTGGAGAGAAGGTCCCCGCCCCCATTCTAGCCTATGTCCCTCCAACACCTGCGCCCCCCCACACCCACACCCAGCTCCCCTGCTGGCCTCTGCCTCCCCCCTCCTACCCCAGCTCCCCCCTACCCCCACCCCAGCTCACCTCGGTCTCCCCCTCCTACCCCAACTCCCCCACACACACACAGCTCCCCCCCACACCCACACCCAGCTCCCCATGCTGGCCTCTGCCTCCCCCCTCCTACCCCAGCTCCCCCCTACCCTCACCCCAGCTCACCTCGGTCTCCTCCTCCTACCCCAACTCCCCCACACACACACACAGCTCCCCCCCACACACACAGCTCCCCCTGCTGGCCTCTGCCT